TCCCCACTGACTCATTCACTACAAAGTATCCACAATGATCTTTTATTTAAATTTTTTTCCTTTTATTTATTTTAGAGAGAGAACTAGTGAAAGCATGAGTGCGGTTGGGGCACACACAGAGAAAGAGAGAGAGAGAGAGAGACAGAGAGAGAGAGAGAATCTCAAGCAAGCTCCATGCTCGGCACAGAGGCTGACGAAGGGTTCTATCCCACGACCCTGGGACCATGACCTGAGCCGAAATCAAGAGTTGGACACTCAGCCGACTGAGCCACCCAGGCGACCCATGAATGATCTTTTAAAAATACAACCATGAGGCGCCTGGGTGGCTCAGTCGGCTAAGCATCCAACTTAGGCTCGGGTCATGATCTCACAGTTTGTGGGTTCGAGCCCCGCACCGGGCTCTGTGCTGACAGCTGGGAGCCTGGAGCCTGCTTTGGATTCTGTGTCTCCCTCTCTCTCTGCCTTTCTCCCTCTCCCACTCTGTCTCTAAGATAAATAATAAACATTAAAAAAAATAAAAAAGATACAACCCTGATCATGTCACTTCCTTGCTCAAAGATCTTTCAGTGGCTCCTCATTATATTCTTACACTCAAATTCTAAACATGGCTGACCAGACCCCAGGGTCTGTCGCCTTATTTTGTACCATCATCTCCCTCCTACCTCTGCACTGGTCACACTGGCTGTTCTGGATAGGGTTAGATGTCAGACAATATCTGTTCCCACTGTTTGTTTTTGTTTTTTATTAAGTAAACTCTATCCCCCATGTGGGGCTTGAACTCACGACCCCAAGATCAAGAAGAGTCCTATGCCCTACCGACTGAGCCAGTTAAGTGCCCTCATTCCCACTGTTTATGTGCCTTACTGTGCTATGCATGCTGTAAAGCTAAAACTTTCTGACTCCCTTGCAGCTAGAGCTGCAGCAATTAGATATACTTGCATGAGGTTTGAAGGTGGAAGGAAGTAAGGCAGAAGTCAAATAGCTTTGGCTGTTTCTGCTCATAAGTAAGGTTGTGGAGACACCGGTGTCATGTCTCTGACTTCAAAACCTCATTTCACTGTCCTGGCAGTAGAATTGGCAGTAGTTTTCCGATCCCAGCAGCCTGTCCTTGGACGGTAGCTTCAGTAGTATGTCCTCAAACTCAACCCTTCCAGTGATGGCTCCTGGCTCTTTTCTGTGAGAGGAAGCAGCTCCCCTGGTAAGTCAGTTCAGTAGTGTTCTAGGAGTCATTCCGAATACCCACCCTAGGTCCCATTACCTTCTTCGATACCTAGAGTGGTTTCTGTTTCTTTCTCTCTTTCTTTTTTAAATATTTATTTTTGAGAGGCAGGGGAGGGGCAGAGAAAGAGGGAGAGAGAGGATCCGAAGCAGGCTCTGCCTTAACGATGGGAGCAGGCGCAGTTCATGCAGGGCTTCAACTCACAAACCGTGAGATCATGACCTGAGCCAAAGTTGGAGGCTTAACAGACTGAGCCACCCAGGTGCCCCAAAGTGGTTTTCTAAGCCTGGACTGATACACTGGGCTCCATTTGGTTTTAGTCATGCCTCCTCTCACCATAGGGTTATTAAACTTGTTATCTCTGCTGCCTAGGCTGCCCTTGTCACTGGTTAACCCCCACGCCATCTCTCAACTCCTTATGTATTTTTTTGATCTCAATTAAACGTTTTTTGGGGACGTTATCCCTGACCCTGACCCCTAAGATCAGATCCATCTCTGTATGTTTCTTGCAGTGCTTTTTATCACACTGTGTAATTATGTCTTTGTGTGGTTCTAGAATTTGAGCCCCAGGGAACTTGACTATGTTGCTGTATTCCATTTCCTAGAAAGAGTTGGTGCTTAATATATATGCTAAATAAGTGAATGGAATGGAGGCGGCCAGACTGGAGGGGGTCAGGACAAAATAAAGCCTCTTAAGTAACACTGACAAGCCCTGGGTCACCTCCTCTTGGCCTTTTCCCAACCACATCTTTCTGTGACTCTGTAGCCAGCCTGAACAGCCTGTGTACTCTGGCCTCCGGGCCTTTGCACAGGCTGTTCCTGTTGCTTGGATCTCTCTTCCCTCTCCACCTGACTTATTCATCTTGTGGGTGTCAGTCATGACATGATCATCTCTTCCAGGAGACCTGTACTTCAGACAATTTTATATGCTTTGTATATACTTTTTTCAGAGTATTAAAAAAATTATTTAAAAAACTGCTCATCACTTATCTGTATCTCCTTCTGCAAGTAACCCTCTCATTCCCGGGTGTGTGCAAACTACCCTACAGAAGGGCTTGGCTCTAATGGCCCTCAGTATCTGTTGAAAGCGGAATGAAAGAAATGTCAGCTAATCGGCCAGCCTCAGCTTGGGGATCTCTGCACACTCTCTACGAGCCCACGAACAGTGAGGGATTGTAATTTGGAGGTAGCTACATCAGGAGGAAGCTGGGGGAGGTTTGTTCCGCTCCAGCCCATGGCTGAGTCCTCAGACCGCCAGGCAGGAGGCCCTGGAGTGGATCCTGTGGGGGATGGGCAGGGAAATAGTTTCTTCCTCTGCTCCCTCCAGGAGAGTTGGAGGGGGAGGGAAGGCAGAGAGAGGGAAGATTCCTTCCAAGGAGGCTCCTTGGCACGGTGCCTGCTTGGAGGGAGGGCGGATATGATGAATGCAGGCTTTCTCTCCGCCTTCAGCCCTGTGAAGGAGGGAAACCCAAGGCAGAGAAGGGAGAGCTGATGGGGGAGGGACAGGACTGGAGGGAGGGATAGAGGAGGGAAGAGTCTGTTTGCTTTGGGAGACAGGAAGGAGGGGCTATGCTGGCTTGGCAAGGCGGGGCTCTCGAGAGCCACCCAGGCCTCAACCACACCTGATCAGCTCTGGAAATATCCTGAAATCACTGAGTTCGAGAATCAGTACACTGAGAATTTTAATTCTTGGGATTGGATCATTTCAACATCTCTGAGCTGAAAATCCTTCAGTCAGTTGTATCTGGGGTCTTCAGGGCTGGCTTGGAGGAGTGAGTCAGCTCTCTGGGAAGTTTCCCAGACTCTTTCTTACTCCCTAATACCTGGAAGAGATGGCGTTTTTTAAAAACCTATGAATACTTTGCATCCTATTTGTGGCACTTCCCGTTTGTAATCTGAGGGCAGAATCCCTCTCTCTCACTTTAATACCATTCAGAACTATAGTCTCAAGCCTGGCTGCCAATCAGAATTGTTGGGGGCCGGGGTGCTTGCTAAAAGTGTTTTCATTCACACCAGTGATTTTGATTCCTTGGAGCAAAGTTAGGACTTAGAACTTGAGTTTTTGCCATGTGCCAAGTGAGTGTAACGCATACATACGGTTTAGGAAACAACGCCAAAGGGTCTGGCACAACATAGTAGGTGCTACGTGTTGCCTACAGGGGTTGGAAATGTATTTGCAGGGTAAACAAATGATGGGTAAGAAGCATGGATTAAACTAGAGTCTGTGTACCCTAGCGTCTTCCACTCTGAAAGGAAATAGGGCAACAGTGTTAGCAATACAAAAGATAAATATTTATTCAGAACAAAACTTTTAACAATCGATTTTACATTCTAAGCCACAAGGAAATAGCAAAACATAAAGCGAAGGAAAAACAAAAACTAAAAGAAAAGCAGTGTACTGTCTTTTCTACTTTAGCTTGATAACACTTAGTTGACCCAATGCCCTCTTGCAAGTGGTCTGTTTTGCAAGTACATTTTAGAGTTAACAGCTCACTTACGATTACAGGTTAAAATCACCTTTCTCCTGTGAGTGAGGAAGCTATAGATGAGCTCCAGTCAGATGCTTCTCTGGGGTTTCTAGCTATTGAGGCTAAGGTGCAAATGTAAACCTCCGGTAGGTTTCCTTACTGAGGAGCACCCCCATTTCTAAGCAGTGGCAATGAGTGGCGGAGGGTGAGGTCCCAAAGGACTTGGCGCTTCAATCCAGATACAGTACCCCAGGGAGCAGTAAGCACACCCTGGATTATGTTCCTTTGTCCCTTCCTGATCTCCCAAGTATTCAGAAGCCCCTGCTAAATGTCTTTCTCCCCCAGATGATTTCTTAGCATTCCTCTGGGCTCACCATTCTGGAGAGATCAGACTTTCTGGGCCCTCAAGTGTTGAGGAAAATGTTGTGAAGTGTGAGAGGTAGTGGAATGGGCACCGGGCTTGGGGTCAGGGAACTCTACTCTAGGCTAGCTCTGGAACCAGACAGCTACGTGATTTTGACGCAGTCACTGACCCTCTCTGGGCCCGTTGCACCTGTTGGAAATCCAGGGGATTGGTCTAAACCAATTTTTAGGTCCTTTCCAGTAAGAAAATTCTAAATTCCATGATTCTGTGAAAAATGGCTTCTGAGCCACTGAACAGCTGTCCCAAAGTCCATGCATTTTAATGCCATAAGAGAGGCCCCTGGCCACCATTCAGAGCTTATTGACTCAGATTACGTACACTTCTAACAACACTGGTTTCACAAATTCTCAGACCACAGAGATTAGAAGCAGCAAATTAAAAGGGGGAGGGGAAGAGCTGCAAAAAGTAGACACCCTGACAGAAGCCACAGTCAACAATGTTCTGGATTCAACAAACACTGACGGAGTGCCTACCACGTGGTGGGCCCCGTACCTAGGGCCGGGGCATAAAGATGAGCAAGGCAGCCCAATGGGTGAAAATCCTGGGAGAGGACAAGGCGTGGGGAGTAAAAAGTACACAAAAAAACCCCACACAAAAACCACAAAACCCCCCCCCCCAAAACAACCCAGGTACAAAAACGAAAAGCAAAATCTTAAAAAGAGGCGACACATCTGCACACGACAGTTCTCGGTAGTCACTGATGACAGAGTCACCAATTCAGAAAAGGCTGAAATGGAGTAAACTCGGTTTAAGAAGGCAGAGAGAGAGATGTCTCTTGTACGTTTAAAAAGATCTCCTTCAAAAACGATAAAAAATGGTTTAAAAAAAAGTTTTGGCACTTAAGAGGGGGTAAGCTGGCTCTGGGTTCCCCTGGCAGGCAGGCGGGTATTCAGTGCCCAGCCACCCCGGTTAGCTGAGCTGCCACGGAATTGTGAACTGCTTTGGGACACTGGGCAAAGGCGTGTCCTCGCTTGCCGCAGAGGTTGCAAACGATGCCCTTCCGGCAGTAAGGGCTCAGATGCCCCTCCTCCCCGCACCTGAAGCACCTGTCCTGCGTGCAGCTGCCGCTCATGTGGGTCCGGGAACCACATTTAAAGCACGTCTTGGGCTGCCCCTTGTACCAGCTGTAGCCCCTCTCGGCCCCCAGGAAGAAGGCCCCAGGCAGGTGCCTGACCCCGCCCTCCCCCTGGCGCAGCTCGATCTCACACTTGTACTCCCCGGTCCAGATCCCAAACCTGTCGGTCACTTTCACGGGCACGGCCAGGACATCGCAGTGGCGCTTGAGCCAGGTCACGATGTCCTCCACGTCCACCGTCTCGTTCCGGAAGAGGATGAAGAGCGTCTTCAAGCTGGACTTGCTCCGCCCCAGCACCACAAAGTTCTCCCAGCAGTCCTCCTGCTCGCGCTTCTCCTCGTACACGCGTAGGAACAGGGCCAGCTTCTCCGCCGAGCGGAAGCTCACGTCGAACTCGCGACTGCCCGGGATCTGGATGACCGCGTAGATGTCGCTCGGGTCCATGCCGATGGAGCGCAGGATGAGCGCGCCCACCACGAAGTCCCGAGTCGGGCAGGCACCCTCGTCTCCCTGGAAACAGATGCGCACCAGGAAGCGGCCTTTGCCCGGGCCCGCCGCGGGGCCCGTCGCCACTGCCTGCTCGTCCTGAGCGGGCCGTTCGGCTGCGTCCTCGGCCGCGCCAGGCCTGGCCGGGCCCGCCATGGCCGCCGCCTCGGCCTTCTTTCTCCGGGCCGCCTCGGCCGCGCCTTTCTTCTTGCGCGGGTCCGCCGCCTCGCCGGCCGGGTCTCTTCGTCCCTGCGGCTGGCTTGGGGAAGTCGCCGAGGTCTGGCGTCGCCAGGATCTGCGGGGGCGCCTAGCCCGCCGCCCACGCCGCCCACGCCGCTGCCGCCTTCCTCCTCCCGTCAGTGGCGGTCATGACTCGGTGGAACTCCTGCCTTCTCGGCCAGGGTCTCCACCACCTGGGCCCAGCCCATCTTTCCGCGGGTCGCCCCTCGGTCTCCTCGGCAGGGTCAGGTGGGCTGCGCGGGGGCAGGATGTGGCCGCCCCTGCTCTCTCCTCCTCCTCCGCGCCGCCGCCGGTGGCCATTTACCTCCTTCCCAGCATCCCTCCACTGCCTCAGCCAGTGGCGCCCATCCGCGCGCCCACACCCGCCCGGGGCTGTGGGGTTTGCGTGTGTCTGTGTAGACATGTGTGTGTTTTTTTTGAAATTGGACGCCCCCGCCCCGCTGGAAGGTGATGGTCTGCGAGCAGCGGCTAGCTGCCGGCCCCGAGCTCCTCGGTAACGGCCGAGCTGCGTCTCCAGCGCGCGTCTGGCCCCACCTCCCATGCCTGGCGGGATGTGCTGTTGCGCGCGTCCCTGTCCCTTTTATGAAGGCTTGGCAGCCTCCCCACGCCCGTTTTCGCAAGCGGTCTTGATGATTTCATTCAGGCAGCATCGCGAACGGCCCACGGCCCCAAGACGAGCCTATTTTGTTTTCTTTTCTATACCTCTTCTGTTTAACCAGAAACAAACGAAACTTAGCTCTCCCTCCTTTCAGAGCCCACGACAGTGCATTGTTTTAACAACGCTGCGACATTTCAAACACAGTTGAAAGAATTTTACGGTGAACATCTTACCTTTACCTTTGGAGTATTTTAACATCATTAGAATTTTTACTGTGCCTTATCACAGTACACCTCTATTCATCAGTCCTTTTGATACATTCCTAAATGATGCTGCATTTTTTTTAAACTTTTTTTTTTTTTTTAAACTTTTTTTTTTTTTAACGTTTATTTATTTTGGGACAGATAGAGACAGAGCATGAACGGGGAGGGGCAGAGAGAGGGAGCACAGAATCGGAAACAGGCTCCAGGCCCGGCCATCAGCCCAGAGCCTGACGCTGGGCCCGAACTCACGGACCGCGAGATCGTGACCTGGCTGAAGTCGGACGCTGAACCGACTGCGCCACCCAGGCGCCCCGATGCTGCATTTTTTAAAAAGACCCATTATACTCATGATGACAATTATAATATATTGAGCTCTTCAGTGCCCGGTACTGTACTAAGCTCATTAGCACACTTTAAGCTCTATCACATGGAATCTTCCAAAACCACGCTGTAATGACACCCCTATCACAGGAGGCAGGGGCCTGGAGACCGGGTTAAAACATTTAGCCGAGTGTCAGAGTAATAGGCGACCGCATGTGTAGGTGGCTTATATTTCGAAACTGCTTTGCTTCTGACATTGTGGATCAAGGACTATTTGCATCAGACTCTCCGGAAAATCTGGTTGACGCGAAGATTCTCAGCTGAAGTTAGCACTGGACAGAATTTGTATTCCTCTATCTGTCTCAAATGGTGCTTTGGAAGCATTAATAAAATCTGGGTGTTTGAGGGGATGGGTTAACAATACGCTTTGTCAGCTTTGTTTTCTTTATGCAAATCTGTGTGCATCTCAGGGTGTTTCAGTGACCATTGTGACTTTAGTGAAAGAAGAGGTGGATTGTGGAGTCAGGGAGACCCTAGTGTGAATCTGACTGATTTGAATCTCAGCCTTGTCACATGGGGCCAATGACCTCAGTTTTCATAGGCTTAGTTTGCTCATCCGTAACAAAGGGATATTAATGTCTACTCTCAGAAGACTAATGTTGGGGTTCAAGGAGATTGTGTGTCAAAGAGCTTGGTCCACAGGGGGTTTCCAAGAAAGGCTATTCTTCATTCTGTTGGTGTTTATTCTTTCTGCTTGACGGCTCAAGTCTTTCCACTGGGAGGAGGTTTACAAAACCAAATAGAACCTATATAATTTTAAATAATCTCTTCCATTCCTCTTACCCTAACTGCTCACCCCAGGCAACTATCATACAGATATTTACAAGGATCAGGCAGGTAACTTAAATAAGGACAGTGTGCTGGGTGAACTGCAGAGCAGGTATTTCTATCTGAAGGGGCAGCCGTTAGTCAACTTCCAGCTCATTATTGCTAGGGCTCACTGTAGCCAGATATTCCAAATTCTAAAGAGAAAACCGAACTATTTTATTTGTGGGAAACATTCTTCCTTCTCTTTCTACAAGGCTGTCTCCGCTATATTTGGATCCTCTCTACAAAATTTACAACCAGCTCACTAAATTCCAAGAAACCACTTTTTGGGATTTCAATCGGAATTGCATTGCGTTTGTACAGAACTGCCATTTGATAATACTAAATCACCTCATCTATGACCTCACTGGATTTCTCATTTAAGTCTTATTTTGATAAACTTCAATAACATTTTATAGTTTTCTTCATACACGTCTTGCATAATTAAAAAATTCATTTTGGGACACCTGGGTGGCTCTGACAGTTAAGTATCCGACTCTTGATCTCGGCTCAGGTCCTGATCTCACAGTTTGTGAGTTTGAGCACTGCACTGGGCTCTGTGCTGACAGCTCAGAGCCTGCTTGGAATTCTCTCTGCCTCTACCCCACTCATTCTCGTTCTCTCTAGAAATAAATAAATAAACTTAAAAATCAATTTAAAAAGGGAATACAAATTGAATTTTGTGTATTAACAACAACGCTGACATCTTTTAAAATTTCCAATGGTTTTTAAAATCACTTAAAAAAAATTTTAAGTTTATTTATTTTGAGAGAGACAGAAACAGCGTGAGTGGGGTGGGCAGAGGGAGAGGGAGGGAGAGAATCCCAGGCAGGCTCCAGTGCAGAGCCCGATGGGGGGCTCAAACTCACAAACCGTTGGATCATGACCTGAATTGAAACCAAGAGTCACACAAGACGCTTAACCGACTGAGCCACCCAGGTGCCCCTCACCTTGCTTTTCTATGTTGATACGTTCAGCCATATTGTCTGAATAACAAAGGTTTTGGTCTTTCTGTTCAGATCTAACAGTTCTTCTTGGGGGCGCCTGGGTGGCTCAGTCGGTTGAGCTTTCGGCTCAGGTCATGATTTCGCGGTCCGTGAGTTCGAGACCCGCGTCAGGCTCTGGGCTGATGTCTCAGAGCCGGGAGCCAGCTTCCGATTCTGTGTCTCCCTCTCTCTCTGCCCCTCCCCCGTTCATGCTCTGTCTCTCTCTGTCTCAAAAATAAATAAATGTTAAAAAAAATTTTTTTTTTAAAACAGTTCTTCTTGGCTTACTGCACTATCCAGGACCTCTCATCTAACCAAACATATATTAAGCATATTTGTTTTATTTCTGACTACAAAGAAATGTTTGTATTTTGAAAAGATTTGACCTGTGGATTGGGTTCTGGCTCCATCTGAAATTTTACTAGCCACATCTTAATTTGTAAGATTTTGTCGGTATGTGTATGGCCATTCCTTCCATCAATTCCCTTTTTCTCAGGTCAAATTTTGCAGATCCAAGATTTCTGTAGTCTCTTTTGGTCATTTTTAGCTTTATTTCTTGTTGATTATCACTGTCAGCAATCTTCCCTAAGAGTTGGGTAAAAGACTGAAAATTTATATTTCTCAGTGAATTTCTTTAGAAATTGTCAGCCATTCTCCTTAGCAGTCAGATTGGCCTACTGCAGAGATCATTGAACCAGGAGCTACAGGGGCCAGGCAGGTACTCTGAAAACCTCCATCCAGATGGGCACTGAGGCCATCTACAGAGGGGAGACTTTACTCATTTCTGGCAAATTATTGCCATGGAAGGATATCAGAATTGGTCAGTTTGGCGCCTCAGTCTGGGTTCTTATTGACAGACTTCTGGCATTGCACTTTTTTTTTAAAGGTTAGTTAGGAGACTGTGACAGAGGCATGCTTTGAGATGGACCTTGAAATAAGAAGCAGGTTTTGGAGAGGAAGACAGAGAAAAAAAAAAAAAAAAGTCTGTGGGCCAGGCAGGTCTCTCTGTGCTGCAAGGTTGTAGATTGGGTGTGAGAGGAAAGCAAAGTATGTGTATGGGTGGGTGGTGGTAGAAAGCGGTATAATTCCACATATACTTTGAAGGTATTGCTGACAGACTTGGATGTGGGGTGAGAGGTAAATCAAAAGATGAGTCAAGGTGGGAGGGGTGCGCATGGGTGGCTCAGCCAGTTAAACATCCAACTCTTGATTTCAGCTCGGGTCATGATCTTAAGGTTCATGAGTTCAAGCCCTGTGTTGGGCTCTGTGTGGACAGTGCAGAGCCTGCTTAGGCCCTTCCCCTGCTCGCACTCTTTCTCTCAAAATAAATATATATATTTTTAAAAAAAGGATGGGTCAAGGATGACTCCAAGAAGAGAGTTGCCATTTTGAGTTGGGGGAAAGAGTTGCCTGTCAGAGTTGCCTATCAGGCACCCAAGTGGAGATGCTGAGTAGGCATTTGGATGTATGCGGCTGGAATTCAGCGTAGAGGCTGGAGATACGAGTCTGGGAGGCATCTAGGTAGAGATGACATCTGAGGTCACAAGACTGGAAGGGAACGTGAATGGAGTGTGAGTGGATAAAGAAGAGGGCTGGGTTCTAGCCCTGAGACACTCTAAAGGGAAAAGAGGAAGAACCAGCAAAGGAGAAGAGAAGGGGTCAGGAAGCCACTCAAGAGAGTGGTTTCCTGGGCACCAAGTTTAGAAAGTGTTTCAAGGGAGGAGTGATCCGCTGTGTCAAATGCTGCAGATAGGTCAAGAAAGATGAGAAGTGACTGTGGTGTTAGTACAGTGGAGGACACTGGTGGCCTTGACAGGGGCAGGTTCAGTGGAAAGGTGGAAATTCCTGGGGCAGTATCTCAGAGAACAATGAGGGAGGGTAGAATTCTGTGCACAGTTGTAGGAATCGGTCTTAACAGGCAGTTCATACAGTCATAAGAGGGAGGCAATTAGGTGGCTCCATGAGATGATACGAAACTGTGAATTTACTGATCCCCAGGATTTCTTAGTGAAATAGGAAGCAAAATCATTAGCCAAGAATAAGGATGAAGAAGAAAGTGATGGAGGTTTGATGAGAAGAGAAACATGACATAATTCTTTTTTTTTTTTCAACGTTTATTTATTTTTGGGACAGAGAGAGACAGAGCATGAATGGGCGAGGGGCAGAGAGAGAGGGAGACACAGAATCAGAAACAGGCTCCAGGCTCCGAGCCATCAGCCCAGAGCCCGACGCGGGGCTCGAACTCACGGACCGTGAGATCGTGACCTGGTTGAAGTCGGACGCTTAACCGGCTGCGCCACCCAGGCGCCCCAAAACATGACATAATTCTTTAGGATGATGGCTGGGGCCAGCTGAAGGATGGTATTTAAAACCTAGTTGAGCAGAATGTGGCGAGCTACGTTTCTCCTTGAGAGGTTAGTCCCTCAAGGCGCTCGGTAGTCCGCGTCCGTTTCCTTGGAGACGGACAGCCCGGTCTCGCTGGAAAGTTTGAGCGGCCTAGGTTACCACGTGGTCCACGCTCAGACAAAAGAGTTGCAGAAGCCGAATAAATAGGCATAGCAAGAGATCGGAGCCCCGCGGACTCACGACTCTTCTTCCATTTTCCCCAATGGCCCATGTCTTTCCAAAGTAAGTAAAAGGAGCATCGATGGGTGGTGAAGTGCGCATGCGTCCCCCACCCCCCGCCCCCGGCTTCTTTTGGTCTCGGCCTGGTTGTCTTTTGACCCCGCCCCCTCCCCCCGCCCTCATCTCCCTAGCCCCGCCTCTCCCTCGGGCTCTCCCAGCTCCCGCGCGTTCCAGTGCTAGTTAACTGGGAGACCCTGTTCGCGTTTGCTGTTACAATCCACGGGTTGGGAGTGATGGACGTTCTTTCCCGCCCCAACTCTTTCCAGACCCAACCGCTCTGGGATTCGCTCCACAGTCCACAACTTCCAGATTCTGGTGAGTCCGGGAGCGCTAAGGAGCAGATTGGGGGCTTGCTGACCCTGGGCCTGCAGTCCTCCTGCCCTGAACCCCCAGGCTGTGACTGTCCCGGGTGATAGAGTCTGGAGACCTGAATTCCAGGCCTGCCTGTGTCACACAGTTGCTGTAGGATCCGGGGGCAATTCTCGGAGCCTGTTTTTTTCTCATCACCTTATCGGAACGTGAGGGTATTTTATACTACTTATTTATCTCTGATCGCTACTAGGGTTTTCTATTGGGTCTTTTCCATGCCTTCTGTTTCTCACAGTTCTTAGCACCTCACAGCCTGGATGTGCTTCGTAAATTCTGGCTGGCTGATAAAAAAGTGATAGCTAGCATTTCTGAAGCTCTTACCACATGCTTCACAAATATCCCTTGGACTGCTCGCATCAACTCGCGGAGGTGGGTTTTATAATTAGACCTAGTTTACAGATGAGAAAAATTGAGGCTCAGAGAAGTAAAGTCACTTGCTCAGGGTCACAGATATCTGTAAGGGGTGAAGCTGGGATTTGAACCCATCAGGCTGCGTGACTGATTGTGTTGTATCTGGTAGGATTATGTTCCATGGCAGCGGTCCAAGCAGAAAACCAAGCCATCTACCCTGCCTCCAGTCCTACAATCCAGAGGCCGCAAGAAGAGCAGAGTGAAGGCTTTGACTAGTGTCCCTCCAGGTGGGCAGAAACCCTTGAGGGCTGGTATGTGGACGGGAGATGGGACAGTGTGTATGCCCTCGGCCTTTGGTGACATCAACAGTATTAGAGTAGGCTAATTGCGGTAACAAACAATCTCCAAGTTTCAAGGGTTAATATTCAAGCCTATTTCTCATTTCCGTCAAAGAACAATTGTGGATCTGCAGGGGAGGAGGTAATCTTGTCCACATGGTCATTCAGCGATCCAGGCTTCTTCAGCCTTGTGGCTCTGACAGTTTGTGAGGCCTTGGAGTCCTCTGCTAGATACTTCTGCACTCAGAGAGAGAGAGAGAGAGAGACAGCAAGGATATGGGTAATTGTGTGGACATTTTTTTTTTTTTTAGACTCGAAGTGATACATACATCACTCCCACTCATGTTCCGGTGGCTGTAGCTCAGTCGTATGACTACCCATAACCACAAGAGGAGAAATGTCCTGCTGTGTGTCCAGGAGGCCAAGAAAACAGGGTTTGGTCAACTCAGGATAATCTCCACCACATTGTTGTTATGCCTTCTGAGGGAGTTCTCAGGCCCTTGGCTCAGGCAGACCTGGGTTCACTTCTTGGCTCTGCCCTTTACCATCTTGGAAAAGCCATTCATCTCTCTGAGCTTTAGTTTTCTCATTTTTTAAAAAATGTTTTTTATTTATTTTTGAAAGAGAGGGGGAGGCAGAGCATGAGTGGGGGGGAGGAGCAGAGAGAGAGGGAGACACAGAATCTGAAGCAGGCTCCCGGCTCTGAGCCATCAGCACAGAGCCCGACGCGGGGCAGGAACTCATGACCCGCGAGATCATAACCTGAGCCGAAGTCGGACGCTCAACCGACTGAGCCACCCAGGCGCCCCATAGTTTTCTCATTTGTAATATGAGGACCTGATAGGATGGCCGCAAGAATTAAATGAGAAGATCTGTGTCAAGCATTGTTGCTCAACCTTCTCAGACCCAACATTCCTTTTAATAACAAATATTTTGTAATATTCCTTTAGTATCTGAGATAAACTTCATAGATAATATAATTGACCTATGTATGTAATTTTAAAAATTAATATAATGCCCTCAGTGTAAAGTAAAGGAAAAGGAAAAGGAAAGCTGTTTATAGTTAAATAACTTCTATTTTAGTATGTAAATACTCAGGGTGAACTCTATTAGAAGATATGACAAAGTAGGCAGAAGCTTATTCACAGATGCGGAGTCACAGTGAATGTAAGAGTTGCAAATGCAGACTGACACGTGGTGGGATGTTAGGGACTCAAATGTCCAGAGGGATTTTTCATTGCAGTCACGATTTCCAAAGTGATGCCCCTCTCTTGGTAAAGTTCTTAACAAAACAGAGCACAATCTTCCCTTGATTGTAGCTGCTTTCTTGGAAAATTCAGCATTACCATAAACCCCTACAAAATACTCTTTGTGTTTAAATTTTTTTCTTTAACGTTTATTTATTTTTTGAGAGACAGAGAGAGAGACAGAGCATGAGCAGGGGAGGGACGGAGAGAGGGAGTCACAGAATCCGAAGCAGGCTCCAGGCTCTGAGCTGTCAGCACAGAGCCCGATGCGGGGCTTGAACCCACGATCTGTGAGATCAGACCTGAGCTGAAGTCAGACGCTTAACCAACTGAGCCACCCAGGTGCCCCCCCTCTTTGTGTTTATATGTGAAAGAGAGTCAGGTTCTGGGATCAGGTCATTATAAATATGGTTTTTACCTACATCAGTGTCTGATAGGGCTTTGGAAAGTCATGCAGGAAGTAGGAGACTTCTGTGTTCTGTGGGGCTGTCCTATTCTGGGGCTATCTATCGAGCATCCCTGGCCCCCACCCACAGATGCCCATCGGGACCCCCAGTATTTGTGAGAACCACAAATCCTCCTTTCCGATGTATCTAAAACTCCCCTGTCAAGAGATTTGGATGTTAAGTGCTGAGCACAAGGCCTGGTGGTAGTGACAGAATTTGTGTCCTTGGCTTTAGATCTATTCATACAGCATCCACAGGGAAACTCCTTTCCTTCTGTCACTGGGGAGACAGTGAGATGTGTAACATACAACCACAGTAAGAACCAGAGTAATTAACACAGGCCAAGCACTTATTATGTGCCAGATACTGTTCTCAGCACTTTGCCCACATCACTTCATTTAGTCTTCTCAACAGCCCCGTGAGGTGGGTGCTGTGACGATCACCTCTTCTTCTAGATAAGGCATGGACAGGTGTAACTTCCAAGGTCCCACAGGTAGGAGGGGGCAGGGCCAGGCTGTGACAGTCGGCAGTTTGTCTCCAGGGTGCACAGTCTTAACCACAGGTCGATGGAGAGTCTGTGGGCACCGGAGAAACATGGAACTGAGTTGGTGTTCCTGTCTCCCTTCCTGCAATTCCATCTAGGTTACCTCTCGCAGCCCCCGCTACGGAGATTCCTGCTTTACGCCCGGTGAAATCCTCTGTGTAAATTACAATGATGAAAATAGTTACCACTTGCTGAGGACTTATTTTATGTTAGGCTCTGTTGCAGAGG